TCAGTGTTATTTAATTTGACGTACAGTGGCTGTACAAAAATAACATATATCTATACCTTAAAGACACTTTAAAATGTAACATTACCTACATGTACTTACAATTTACGTTTAAATAAAATCCTAAACAAACTTAAAATGTTAAAACAATTTAAAGTAAGACGTTAACAAAACAAACATCTATTTATTACAATGAAAACAAGAATGTCAACTGTCGTTTCAAATATGGAAATGACTTTTTTCTTATTGAACGCACAAAAACTCGAAACAGAAATATACGTCTTTAAATTGTACCTAAAGGATGGACTTACGAAGCTACCGACTCGACTCAAGTGGGAAAGAATCAGAGAGAACCATTAGAACCACGTTAAGGGCTCCACACCGCAGTTACTTTCGTTAATCACAACGGAATGGTAGGGTTTTATGGGCTTTGAACTTAAGCGTCGAGTTTAAGTTACGAACTTTCAACTTCAAAAGAGTTTTAATATGTTACCTTGATATTTCACATTTCAGCTACCAAATTTAACGATTTGGTTCTGAATAAGAGTTACGTAATAAGAGATATTAGTATATTGTTTTTTGTTCAGTTATATATTTAAAAGTTTTACTAAAAAAGTTCAGTAACTTTTGAATGAGATTGACGATACTATTTTGTAGGTTAACGATGATTTCGGTAGATCAGAAAGCTCAACTGGTCAGAGTTATCGCCTAAGTTTACAAAACGTTACCGGTTCGAGACCCTTCTCGGCTAACTGACCGAATTTTACCTTTTAAATCAAATATCAATCATATTATTATTCCAACACTTATGCTTTACACCAACCACTAAGTTCCCGCCATTCTAACGTCGACGCAGACGCATCCGAGAGGCGGAACTCGTAATAGGCGCATTCCGCCGCGAGCCTGTGAATGCTCGGTATACCTACTCGGAAAAGCTTTGAATGGCTTAGAAACCATTAACGTCGGAGGCTAATGCCCAAACGTGATTTAGCAGACCTAAGAAACGGGGATACGCTCTATCGCACCGTTTGACCAACTTTTATGGACAACACAAGATAATGACTTAGTCTAAAATAGGTGCTGACCAAATTCAATTGTGGTTTATAACTTTCATAAATATTCAAGGCTCGTTTTTTGATCTTTTTTCGGTAGAATAAAGTTTTAATATTCGAAAGTAATCCCATACAGAGGCGGTGGTAATGTTATAATATTAAAATAATGTTTTAAACTAAAACATTATTTTAAATTGTAGTATTGTCTACAAGAAAAAATAGGATACTAAATGGAAAATTCAAAATTGCATTCAAACGAAGTCGTGGAGTGGACATGAGCCAGTAATGGATAAAAACAAATAATGATTTTAATTCTTATAACGTACGCAAACGCGAGGTTGCAATTGAGATTCCAAGCACCAAGTATTTCCTGTTTAAGTAAGAGCAACGCAATTCTTTAGCTTGTAGAGTGATAGTATAAAAGTTAGACCTAAATCTAGAAGAATCCAATCCGAATAAAATATTTGTATTCTTCTAGAACCGAATAAGTCTAGAATCCAAAAATTTATTCATTTTAAGCTGTTTATTTTTGAATATCAAAAATCTATGCTACCGATTCTAACTAACCAGTTTCGTAGAATCAATTTATATTTATATAAATAATTATAATACAACATCACATAAATTGCACAGATACCAAATTGTGTAGCTAAAACCCCAGTATTGCGGAGTATCTGAGACAGTAAAAGTGTCACATCATCCAGACCCGGGACATTATAGATAAGTCCTTTTTTCGTCATTGAATCGAACCTAGGATGGCGAACCTCAGAGTGGCGACGCCTTGAAACCCGCGTACGAACCACTCTGCTATGGAGGTCGACTTTTATTCGGTAGATATTTTAAAACTATTTCAATTTGGGGTCTAGAATTCTTTTTACGATTTTTATTACGTATGGAAAATTTAACGATTTCTCATTTAAAGCGTGAAGTTGTACCTTCACTGAACTACGACAGCAGATTACGTAACTGTTCTATGAAGCGGGTGGGGCTAACCACAGGGTAATAACGACAACTTTACTGACACATGATACCAACCAACTGATTATATACATCACTAAACTAATTTTCAATTAAAAAAAATGTTTTTTTCATGTGATCAAGACTTCTCATTCGACTCGACTCCAAAGTATGCCATGACGAAAAATAATAGTACTTATTTATTTTCAATAAATACTTTAAGAATAACATTGAAGCTATATTAAAATTTGATTTTACTACTCGTGGTATCATTATTTCATATTGGATTCTAAAGGTAGCACTTCATTTGTGTTTAATACATGTTTTATTATGCAAAATAAAATTCTTATAAACCTTAACAATCACATACCAAAGTTATTTATGTGGAATTATATTTCAAACAAAGACCTCGCAAAGCATTAGAAAGGTCTTGGCACATATTCTGTGGTATAACACTGTATAATTCAGTTTTACCATGTTGCACGGATCCTATCTCTTTAAACAATAAACTATTTTAGAATATTATAGCATCTCTTTTTTTGTTACTAAAAGTTTCCATTGGGATTTACAAATAGGTAACTTATCACGTACCTATCATATACTTTTTTACTTAATAATTTATGCATATATTAAATGTCAATATGAAGAGAATCCTATGATGCATGACTTAAGTACGTTAAGTTGCCCTTAATCATACAGATATACAATATTAATAGTATTTCTAAATGTTTAAGGGCGAGTTTTAATACGATGCGTACTCCTGTATTAATTCGCCTTAGGTAAATAGAGAGCACAAGGCTCATTTTTAGCTATATCAACCCCTTCAAAATATCAAATAAGTAATAATCTTCATTGCCAAAAAATATCACAAAAGGCGGACATTTCTAAAAATATCACAAAAAGAGGCATTCTCTGCCAGTCACCCAAAAAATAGTTAATATCAATGGGTAAAATGCAATATGTACTAACCCTATAGTCGAGAAAAGTAATTATTTGTGAATATGTCATAATTTAACTTGATATTATTACCAAATAAACAAGAATTTTAATGAATTAAGAGCTGTTAATAATTAGAACACTGATATTATTAGCTATTAATCCATTACTCCAATATTCATACTCCAATAAATTCTCGTCTGTTGGTTAAAAATATTTGATTACGTCATGACTTTTTCTCTTTAATTACTTCTCTCTACCATATATACGAATGTGAGTCCTTATTTAAAAACTTGATACTTATCAATCAATCATTTGCTTCCTTTAAATATGGTGAATGTAGACTTTTTACATTAAAATAACGGTCTCACATATTTTACTGTAAAAGAGTGTCCAATATTTTCCATAAGATATATTTTTATAATTAATTTTCATTGTCTATCATGCATTTATTATACTTAGTATTATTTTGTTAAGTACATCATTGATTCAGAATATATCTTTATATGAAATTTGTTAAGGTAATTCTTATTACATTTTTACTTCAGTTTAATTAATCGAATAGTAACATTATATAAAGTATTAAGATTAATCATTTCATTATCAAAACTAATTCACATGTCATCATAATAATTGTCAAAATATATCTGCATTAATTTACAATTAATAATCTAAGCAGTCACATTAAAAAAACATGTCATTGCATATAATATACAACAATAAAGCGCTATTTGCTATTCTTAAATTTTCTGTATACCAAATCTTTCTGTACATAATAAAATGATTTGTCCAAAAGCAAAATCTTAGAATAAAACAGGTGTGGTTGTAAACAATGTCGATGCGACTATTTAATAATTATTTATCCATATAGATACGATATAGTTTTTAATTAGCTACACAAACATCATATTATTTGGACTAATGTAGGATAACATTTGTGTTACATTTCGCAAAGTGCATAAGTTACATATCATATGCAGAAGTTACACTGCATACAATGCATACAGGTAATAGAGTTGATGCCTTGGTAAAAAAAAGAAATGCTATTTATTCAGTCGGCAACTAATAGAAAAATATTAGATACGTTTCTTTGCTTCTGTTTAACAAGAAATAGTCGAGAAGTGGAAGCTCGCTACGTCACAGCTTTGTAGAAAATGTACAAAAGCTTGACGTCATGTGACATTGTAACTAAATGTATCTTCGTTATTTAACAATTAAGCAAAAAAATAAAAAGTGATTTTTTATATTATTAACTCATCTACCTTATGGAAAGACAAAAAGTATTCTTTATCCATATTACCCTCAATCATATGACTTCAATTTTACTTATATTTACTAAAGTTATAGTACGCTCCTGTGCACGCACATACTCACACGAATTTAAATATTATATTATATTAACTATTGCAATGCGCACACCCTACCTCCATCGCTTATTACAATAAATATTATTTCTTCTCACAAATTAGGTTGTCTGAAAAAAATCGCTGGTAAGTGGTAATGCAGTCTACAATACTGTGTTGTACAATAAATTGTCATAAAACTGAAAAAATAGTGCATTCATCTTGGTCACTTGTTGCTTCAAATAGTGACTCTTTCGGGTTTTACCACTTGCGCGGTATACGTCAGCTACTATCCGTATCAAGTTGTTTTTATCGCTTGCATCTCACATATGCAGACAACTTGAAAGTCGGTAAGGTAACGTATAATTAAATAACGTTATCAAGGTCGATGCGAGTAATTGTAATAATTGATACGATTACAGAATTAATTATATGTACTACTTTTATTATGATTTTAGGATCAACGGATGTGACCGTATTATAATTCTTACTTAAACAGTATAACAGAAGAATTTATACAATAATGCGAGGTCGCATCGTTAAGTAATCCTTGCAACCGTGCGTAACATAACATCTAATGAATGACTTACAAAACGGTGGAAACGTATCTGCGAACCCACCTAGTACCATTTATCGATGTAAACTATCGACTATTTAATCACAATACTAGGCCGCACTAAAACTAACATAGACATAACAAAACTATGTAACAAACCTTTTTCGTTGTGCACGTTCAGCCGTTCCTTTAGTGTTAATTTTTTAAAAGTAAACAAGCACTGTTATAAACACTATTGTAACGGGCACGATTGAGGCACAGTTTGTTCGCGATCGTATGTTAGAGGGGGGCCGCGACGTGCGCACGCGTCGCTCGTTCCGCGCTAACTGCTAGAGAGGCGGCGGTCAGTGTTACCAACTCTCAAAAATATTTATCCCTAAATCTAAGTCAAAACCCCCTAAAAATGACTCAATTATTTGAAAATTCCCCTAAAAATATATTTAATAAAAATAATATATAAAATAAAAGTAATATGTAGTAATATTTCTTTATTAATATATTATCTAAAACGGTATAGTTATATTTTATATCAATATCTTCTGAAGAACCGCATTTTTAAAATCATATATATTCACATTACATAAACTTAACATTTTTGAAGATGGATTAAATGTAGAGCATGATCCACCATTCTAATTACATTAGATGTTATCCAGTTCGAAGTCATTCAATGGGTAAAAAAAATATTTGAATGACTATTATTGGATTTAATAGTTCTGTTAGATTCAGAATTACAGAATATTATGTATTCAGAAAACCCCTAAAAATACCCCTAAACATATAAAACCCCCAAAAAAATCCCATCCCACTCATTTACCCCCTAAATTTGGGGGGAAAACCCCTAAGTTGGGAACCGTGGCGGCGGTGAACGTAACGTGACCTTCCTGCCCACGAAGCTTAGAAGAACCTCTACTCCTTCATGTGAGTGCAGAAAATTGGGAAATTGTACGAAAGAAAATTGCTGAAACTAAACTTACGGCTCGAAGGACTATCTAAGGCGAGACCAAAGAAACACACGTAGTTCACAATTATCAGAGATTTCAAAAAATGTTACAACACTTTTTAAGAAGTTTATATACATTTATATTTCTTTTATTTTGCGATAAATGGTCGAGCCCTTCGGTAAAAATAGCATAATATATTAACCAATAATAGAAACAGAATTCACTAACTTGCTTTGTCGTGGGTTGTGTTAATTTGTATATCTTACTCAGCCTCGCATTGTTCTAAGTTAATATACAATTGTTCAACATGAGGGCGTAGTTACAATACAAATAAAAATCGTAATCGTAATATCTCAAGGTGGATTTGTTACAGTGACATTATTTTTGCTAACAATAGATAGCGCTAGTATCATAATTTGACGATTTTTATCAAAAAAATATCCTTATTATTTTATAATAATGAGTGGTATGTTTTACGCCTGCAAGTTACTGTAATTTTGTTTAATTTTAACCATAGAGTTACTTTTAATTGACTTCATAATCAAAAAAGAAGGAGGTTTTATGATTGACGGCAATATATGTTTTATTTTTCAACATACCTTCACTTGACTAAATTAATGATTAAAATCAAATTTGAATTTAGAACACGAGTAAAGTCATTTTAAAAAATGGAATAACACAAATATTTTTCCCACGCGTATGATGTAGCTTCCCGTAGATAAAAGATTTTTTATGTAAAAATAAAACAACAATACATATTTCCTCCTTTATATAATATTAGATCTTTACCTTTCGAATTTCTTTTGTACCGTACTGGCTATTTCAGATCAAAATATTTTTTATTTTTTCTAAGAATTCTTATTCAAATTATCAAATTAGAAATATTTTTTTTATTTTTTTCAAATTATTTTTATTTTGATGGAATTCTGTTTTGAAAATTATTTGTACGCTTTTCGTATTCATAGATACTTAAAAATTCGAATAATTAAACCATACTGATTTATATTTACGTCAAATCGGCTCAATTCGTGGGGTACCCATTTGTCAAGCCTCTGTGCTTGACAAATGGGTACCCCACGTATTGAGTAATCATCATCATGAAGTACGCGTCGAGACGACTCTTGCACTGCTCAACAGGCACACAAACAATGGCATTTTGAATCGCAATACGACAATCGCAAGCGCCCAGCAAGTTGGTTAGATCCTGGTTCAGCACCTAAACAATGCCCTAATATATCTCGAAATGATATCTCCTCCAGTATTGATAATTTAAATAGGGAAAGTATTTTCAATTATGATGTGGATCATAACAAAATAGCAGATTGGCATGCATACAATTTGAACCTGAATATAGACAAAACATGTGCCATGAAATTCACAACAGCTCGCAACAAAGATGCTTTACATATCTACACGCGTATCAAAAAGATTAACATAGTGGAAGAGGTGAATATATACATAGATTCTACCCGAAGTTGGAAAACGGAATTGAATTCCATATTAAAAGCAATCAATTCGGTATGTTATGCTTTGAGAAGCTTGTGAGACATTCTATCAGTGGAACAATTAAAAAATATTTATTTTGCACTCGTAGAGTCCAAGTTGCGCTATAGTATCAAATTATGGTAAACAACTATGATAATAATATATTTAAAGCTTTTAGTTCGCAAAAAAGAGCAATTAAAGTGACTGCATGCATTCTTCAATGGATATCTTGCAAAGATTACTTAAAATTGTATTTTATTCAAAATAGCATACCACATTTGCTAATAATTTTGTGGTATATATTTTATTTAAGTCATTTATTAATATCAGCATCCGCTAATATAAGAAAAACCCGTATCTGCAATACCCTGGTAACAACTTTGATTATAAAAATAAAAAATATTTTTATTAGTAACGGTAATTTCATACCTAGAATATTGCGTCGTTCAAACGAAATTCAAAGTTATAGGTCAATTGATTATCTCTTTTTGGTTGAAATACGGCAATTTTCTGTCCGGTATATGGCAATATATGGACTTAGTATATACTTATTACACTAAGAGTAAGTTATTACAGGACATAGTACTCCCAGCTGAAAAGCAAGCCAAGCGAGACATGAAATACATAGGCTATTTGACCATTTAAATTAAGTGAGGCTTTAGTCTTTATTTGCAATAAATAGGGTTATATATACAGTGTGATATTTCAGTTTAAGAGCTTTGACCTATTTAGCCATCTTGAACAGCATGCAAAAAATAATAATAATAATACCTAATAATAATAATAAAATAGATGAAACTTAAAATATTTCATAATAACATAAAATTGTGTCAAATTTAACAATAATGGTATTTAATCAAAATATTACAATTGTGTCAAAACGTTATTAATCATGTCAATTTTATCAAATTGTACAAAAAAAATAAAATAAAATAATTAAAAAATGTATAAGATGTCAAATGGAAATATTAAAATATTAAACGTATGTCAGATGCAATTATGTAAAATTATTTATAAAACTTTGTATCGACTATCATGCTTACAAATTAATTACTGAATAAACTATCCTTCATTAAGGAATTCACCAATCGAGTAAAAAGCTTTTTCAATCAGCCATCTACGCAATAATATTTTAAAACGATTAGCCGGCAAATCTTTTATATCATTGGGTATTTTATTAAAGACAGTTGTACACATAAAGAGACTATTTTTTAAAAATTTACTTGTTTTTGGTATCGATGTATGTACTACTTTGTTCGGGTTTCTCAAACTTCTTTCAGTTACATTACTCGATCGCACGAAGAATTTTTCGTTTTGCTTCACAAACATCGCCACTTCTAATATATACAGACAGGGCAGTGTTAATATTTTTAAAGAAATAAAATAAGGTTTACATGATATATCTGATGTCAAATTGCATATAGCTCTAACACAGCGTTTCTGAGCAATCAATAATCTTGTTACATCAGTACCATTACCCCAAATAATTAAACCGTACCTTAAAACTGTTTCTACGTACGCAAAATAGGCTGTAATGGCAGTATTTAAGCTTGCAACTTTGGTTAATTTGTACAATGCATAAGCAAATCCATTTACCTTATTGCATATTTTATCTATTTGTTCTTTCCAGGTCAATGTTGGCGTAACTATTAGTCCTAAAAATGTAACACTTGTTGCATTCTGAAGAATTTGTCCGTTAAAAGCTATGTCAATCGATTGGGTTTTAAAATTATTGAAATTCATTAAATTAGTTTTTGATAGATTAATTTCTAAGTTATTATTATATGTCCATTCGTTTATTGATTTTAAGGTACAAATTATGTCATTTTTATGTTGGTCCAAAGAAGAGTTTTTGTCAGTTGTTATTATTATAGAAATGTCATCAGCAAATAGTATCAATTTATGTTTTATTATGTCTGGTAAATCGTTTAGATATAAAATAAATAATAATGGGCCCAGGACACTCCCCTGTGGAACACCAAGTCTATTAAGCCTAACTTTAGATTCGTATTTAACAATCTTTTTTAAGCTTATTTGATTAATTTCTACATATTGAAATCTATCAGTTAGATAAGTCTTTATCCAATGGAGAGCTGGACCCCTAATTCCACTACGCTCTAGTTTAGCTAACAGTCTGTCATGTGGAACACGGTCGAACGCTTTCGACATATCTATAAATAACACTGTTGTGAATTTTTTTTCATTGACGTTTTGAAGTACCTCATTAACAAGGTCAAAAGTAGCATGCGTTGTCGATTTATGCTTTTGAAACCCATATTGGTGTTTTGTAATGACTTGGAATTTGTCAAGAAACGTTGAAAGGTGATTATGCATGACTTTCTCAAAAACTTTTGAGAGAACTGGTAATATCGCTATTGGTCGGTAATTACAAACATCAGATTTGTCCCCTTTTTTATGCAACGGTTTAATAATAGATAGTTTCAATCTATCAGGAAACTGTCCAGTTTGCAATGATAGATTCACCAAAAAGGTCAATACCTGACAGATTTCACCTTTACAATATTTTAATACCTTAGTGCAAAGAGAGTCATAACCTTCAGATTGTGAGTTTTTTAGAGACATTATAGTCTTGCATATTGTATTTTCATCTACTGGTGGTAAAAAAATAGTGTTTGATATTGTTGAATTTATCACGTTTGTTTTGTTATAATTAGAATTAGTTTTTATGTCATCAATAAAGTAATCATTAAATGTAGAAGCAATCATAATGGGGTCTATAACCTCTTCGTCATTATACACCAATTTATTAATATAATTATTTTTAAAACGTTCACCAACAGTCTCATTTTGTATGACATTCCAAGTTGCCTTACAGATATTATTACTTTTAGAGACATATCTTTGATTTGCAAGCCTTTTTGAACAGTTTATACATTTT